CGCATCGCAAGCCGCACAACTTTTTGCACAAGGCCAAGTAGTATATGCTCGATGACGACGGGCGAAATCATTGAATTTTTCTACGCACCCAATAGCCCGGGCTATGGAGCAGAGCAATAGTATAGCCAAGTTCCAGGTGCAAAGCGTCACAATTGAATGCGCTTCAAGGGCTCCTCAATTCTAAGTGGATCGTCAGTTCGTCAGTTCGTCCTAGATCATCAAGGTTCTGCTTTCACAGTCCGCTGTTGGCCGATCAAGCCGTCAGGAATGTAGGAACCGGCGACTTGTCCCAAATGGAAACGCGAAAAAAAAAACCCCGAAGTCCTCACCGTGGCACCGGCCGTTTGCACGTGAGGCCGGGGTTGGTTCCTGACGGCTTGTTCGGCCAACAGCGGACTGTAAAATCAGAACCTCGATGATCCAGGACGAACTGACGAACTGACGATCCACTTAGAATTGAGGAGCCCTTCAGACGATCTCGACAGTCGCCAGTGGCTCTGAAAAACGAGAATTTATAACTGTTTGTCCTCTGTTCATTGACAGACACTCGGGATATTGCGAGCGAAGCTTGCTCCCCGCCTTCGCTCGCAACAAATGCTATATTCGCCGTCAGCTCCTCTACAGCTAGGCTTCCTGGGTCGGCTGTCTGGCGAAATAACTTGAATTGTCTCAATGGCAGATCTGGAGGCGTCTGACATCGGTTGCTGTGTATCTCCCGCTCGAGGAGCTCGAAATCAGATGTTCTGAGATGAATAAAACCCTGTCCCGTGTTCATCGGGGCATCACAACCCAAACGAACCCTTCCATAGCAGATTCCACGACTCGCATGGCAATCAAACGGTCGAGGAGTCGAGCATTCTAGGGACGCCGAAGCCGCACCTCCCAGCGATCTATCCCTTCAGACGTTCAACATCGCCATAAGCGAACGACTGAGCCACTCTTAAACGTTGCTCAGGACTCACGGGACACCTAGTACTACTCTATACCTTTACACAGTTGCAGGCACAGATCCATTCCCTCTACGAGACATCCTAGGACGCGGTACTACATACCACCATGTCCTACTAATGTCGAAAGGTATGGCATACCTACATTGGGTTCGTTCCTTCCTCTTTGAAGCAGCCGTTTCTTTGGAGCCACGGGTAGTGTTGGCGCTTGGAAGGGTTAGAGAGCGATACGCATACAGAGATCCAGTGCGATGCGAATACGTGCGGCGGAACAACGTTCAAATAAAGACTATAGATCATAGGACGAATGCGAAGCGCCTAGACGCGCAATCATTATGCGAATACAAATTACAGTATTTGCACGAGCGCTCGCGCCGGCGGAAAGACTAGATACATAATGTGATGAGAATGGATGTGACGAGATATGGATTTGTATATGTATGGATGGGGCAGACCTGTACGTAGATGAGCAAATGAGCATGGGACGATGAGGGGGGTGTATGTATGCAAGCAAACAAGAACAAGAACAAGAACAGCAACGCAAATTAACACGCACACGGCAAGAAGATCTAAAAAAACAGGGGCCGTCCATGCCTTCTCGGAATGGGCGCCATCAAGGAATCGTCACAGGTCATATATCGTTCACGATTCTCCTCATCACCCTCACCGCTCCGGCACAAGCACCATCTCCCCCGCCTTCGGACTCCCAGGCTCCACCACCTCCCCATCCGCATCATACATCCCCCCTCCATACCCACCCCCATACCCATACCCGTATCCCGGATACCCATACGAGTACCGGGGCTGTGCCGCCGGAGGCGCACGCGCTCTGTACGCCTCCCTCTCTTCGTCGGACAGAGGCGTGGGCGAGGCGGTGATGAGGCGGTCCAGCAACGTCAGCGTGTAGCTAGACGGGGGCTGCGTCTCCGGGTCGGACAGATCCTGCGTGTCCTGCTGTTGGCTTGTACTTGTAGGATTGGACGAGGAGGGGAGGGGGAACGTATACGCAGGCTCAGACGACACCGCCCCCGCAAAGAACGAATACGTATACCCCGCGCCCGAGCCCTCCTCACTCCCCATCGACACACGGCCCCCCTCCTTCCGCCCCCTTGCACGCAACCCAAGCGGGTTCCCACACACCACGCACCCCACCCCCTCCCGCCCCGCACGGATCTGCGCCCGTATGCGCGCATCGTCGAAGTACATTGCGTCGAGCGGGGCGAGGCCGGAGGAGGCCCCGGGGGAGAGGGCGTGCCACGTGTTGGTGGTGGTGGTGGAGGAAGGGGAGGCCCGGCGCCGGGGGGCGGCGGCGGAGTGGATACGTGCGCCGCACCCCGTCGTGCTTGTGCGCTTGCGTCTCTGTTTGACGCGGGGCGGGCTCGGCCGAGGTGGGGGCGGATACAGCGGGAGAATGGACGGGGTGTATGGGGTGTGGTCATTTGAAGTCCCGTTGTGGGTCTCCTCTTCAATGCTTACTTCGCCGCCGCAGAAGAGGGTGTAAGAGTAGTCCGGTTCGCCGTCGAGGGCGTGTCGGCGGGTGGGGCGCGTGCGGGGGCGGGGGTGCGGGGGGTGCGGGTGGGGGCTGTCCTCGGGCTCGGAGTCCCATGAGGGGGGCTCGTGCACGACGATGAGGGAGGGGCTGCGCGGGGGGTGGGGGTGGGCGTGAGGGTAGGTGTGGTCGAGGCGCATGGCGCCGCGGCGACGGAGGCGGGAGGCTTCGCCTGTGCGGACGAGATCCGAGAGGACGATGGAGTCGTCGGCGTCGGTGGGTACGAGCTGGGAGGCGGAGGTGGAGGTGGAGGCGGTGGGGTCGTGGTCGCTCTCGCCGTCTGTGGAAATTGTATTGTAGGAGCGGGAGTGGTATATCAGTGGCATATGGCTTGAGGGAAGGAGGTGATGGAACAACTTGTAAGAGGTGAAATGTGTCAGCCAATGCATGTGTGCTTACCTAATAACACATTGTCGGCGATGTCCTTGACATCTCGCCACCATCTGGCATCTGCTGCGTGTATCCAACTGACTCAGGTGCGGACACCTGGTAGCTTCGTGCTTGGAGTCCGAGTCATCTGCTGCTGAGCCATGGTGAGGGCACAAGTCTGCACGTCATGTCAAGTCAAGGTATGTCGACCCTTACAATTCATTGAAGAATTACAATAGCGCACCATCCGTGGAGCCTACCATCCCTGGGATGGCGGAGAATGGCACGTTATTGTCACTCCTTCCCCCATGACCATGCCCTCGACACTTCGCCCCGCTAACTCCTATCGCCCTTGACATGCACAAAAAGCAGGACCCCTGATAATCCTCTGAGAGGCTATATGCCGATCCGGACAAATTTTGGGCTTAAGCGGCCTGAAAGGTAGGTCCAATCCGGACAAAAACCTACCTGGTTGGGCCAACCAGCTGGATCCCTGTCCGGACAAAATCACCAGGATAGGAGGTGGTCGGCCATATATGGTAGGTTGAGAGACTGGTCGAGCGCCGTTCAGGCCTTGGAACGGCATTCTAAAGAATTCGAGGGATTGAAAACAGCAAATTTCGACGATTTTCGGCTGGTATGCACTACGGAGAACTTTGGCGGGTTCTATCCGGACAAATTTTGACCCAAAATAGCCGCTGGGCTAGATCCAGTCCGGACAAAAATCGCGCAAAATGGTCAAAAAGTGTCCGGACAGAAATCCAGGATTCACGAATTTTCGGGATATAGCCTCTGACCGTACTATCAGGGGTCCTCAAAAAGCCTGCACATGCCTAGATTACATACAGGAACGCCTCGCGTCCTGAGTTCGAGGTCCCGGCGGCAAGCGAGCACGCGGTGTCAGCGTGTACTTCAAAGGGCACTGGGCAGGGCGTCGATATCCGGATGACCACGCATGTCGTGGCAGTGCTGTCAAAGAGAGCCGTTCGTCCTGATCCGTCGCTGCACGAGTAAGTGATGTATCCATCCATTGCCATGTTACATGCCGGACCCCCCAGGCCCATGATGCGAAGGTCAAGCTCTTCTGGTAGCGCACCGATAACGGGACAGGTACGTGCGACATATCACCGCATCGAAGAAGGCTATAGGTTTGACGCCAGGTGCAGAATCGTAAGGTAGCCCGTTCATAAATGGCATCCATTTCAGACGTAGAGTCTGATTCTGCGTGTGATTCCATCGATTTCCTGGAGGATTTTGGCCCTGCCCACAATCTATGGTACAGAAAGAAGACGTCGCAGAGGAGTGGAGTCTTGCGGTAATCCGTGAATCAAGTTCGATCTCTCGAAAACATCTGAGCTGTGGCATTGATGTACACTGTACAGCACCTCTGGATCGGCCGCGCCAAGAATACAACACCCAGAATTCGCGCCGTCTGAGCAGGCTGTCACCCTAGGACGCGGTTTATATTCTTTTCAAAAGGAAGGTTTGTTCCTAGACACTATGCTCGTACCGTGTGCATCATGATTCATAGAGTCGGCCCCGGCCCCCTTGGCTGCTGTCCTATAACGAAACTCAAACAAAATCACCAGATAAAAAACCTATCAGGATCTCATTCGGGTACGGGGAATCGAACCCCGAGCTGCCGCGCACAATCCTAGCTGCCCATACTATATGAGAGGCGGCAATGTTAGCCGTTACACCATACCCGAGGGTATGAATCTCGTTCCGTCCAAGTGTTCTTTACATGTTCTCCGGAAGATTTCCTCGACGACGATCATTCTGAGTCTTTGTAGATCTTGGCTCTTCGCTTTTGCACCATCTCACGTTCACGCTCGGCGCTCGCAACCTGTGGATCTGATCTGCGATCTTTGAGTCGCGGATCTCACCAGGGAGTACCGCTCCGTGCAATCTCAGAAGTACTACTTGTAACCTCGCCATCCGGATGAACCGCACGATACCTCCAACCAATTCTTATGTCAACCAACACGTCTATTCCCAAACAAACGCCGTGGCCGTACCATGCGCATCCTAGTGTTCCTAGCCTCTAGTCGGACTGTCGTAGTCCTATACCCCAACATACTGGAACTCAAACAAACTCACCGCAAAAAAAAAAAAGGATTACAAACTGAGTTACATTCGGGTACGGGGAATCGAACCCCGAGCTGCCGCGTACTATGGTCCCCGGATGCCTGGTACATGAGAGGCGGCAATGTTAGCCGTTACACCATACCCGATGGTGAAAGGGGTAGATCGCGTTCGTTCTAAGTGTTCTTTATTCTTTGAAAGATTCCCAGGTACACCAAATTTCATCTCGATGATATCCTTCGCCGCATCGAGATTCGACACTCAGAACGAAGTTAACTCTACGTGTACGCGACTCCGTCAGTCCGGTCCAAGTCAGCTGTACTAGGTTGTGAGTCGTGAAGGTTGTGAGTCGTGACCAGCGTCTATTCAGCCGAATCAGTGTTGCTTGCTGTTCGGGGAAATGAGAGTTCCGAAAGAAACGCGTATACCGAGGGGGACCCCTGCTGCCGCTATCTCCATGTCCTTGAGCAGGGTTCGAGAGCCTTCGTTTGAGACCCATGGGCAGCTACCAGTATTTCCGTGCCAAAATAATATCAGCGGTATAGCGTTGGAGTAAGTATCGTCGGGCGAGACTCCAAAGCGGGAAACAGACGAAACTGGCGGTTGTTTGCGCGTATTTGTCAGTAGCTTCGGGATAGACTGACAGACTTGTACACGGTAGACTCAGATCCTGCTCAGATCATCATCATCGCACTTCATCGCTGCTGCCGCGCGGAGCTCGTCAGACTCAGATGGGGCCACTCCAGCGTCCTTCCTTGGCCGAGACCTATACACGCGGGTAGATACGTAGTGCGGTCGAGGCGTTACTTAGTAAACCTTACAAAGCCTAAACTTGGACTTGGCTGGGAGTTGTCTCGTCAAACGATACTCAGACGCACTTGCCATGGCAAAACGATCAGGACCTAATTCGGATACGGCGCATCGAACCCTTAGGCCTTAGGGGCCGCGCACGAAGCTGACAGTGACACGCCGCTATCGATAATCAACTCAGCAAGTAACATTAATTGGCAAGAACGACGCGTCGCGACACGCTCACGTGAGGTATTCACTCCTTCTAGACTCGTCACTCAGGTCATGGCTTGACCGCATGACGCAGCTCATGATCCCGAAACCGTTCACACCCTCGAGACTCGCTTGGCCCCGACAAACACACAAGGGGCCAGATCCGTCTGGCACGTCACTAGGCCGTACCCCATACCCGAGGGCCTTGGAAGGATTGCTATTTCAATCCCATATACTCTCTCACGTGTCACCTGAGACTTCTTGAACCTTCTACTTAAAAGCAGCGCTGCTTGGTTATGACGAATTCACTCTCACCATCCCAACATGTCCCGCAAGTTCGTCTGCGTTCCTTCCGGTATCAAAGCCGCTTATCGCCAGGTGCCCGAGGTGCCCAACCCGGCAAACCCGACGCTTGTGCTGCTTCACAGCTTCACGACGAGCCTTGATCTGTACGAGCCGCAGTACGCCAATGAAGATCTCACGAGCAAGGTCAACTTGCTCGGAATCGATGAAATTGTAAGTAGCCTGTGCAGACTTGCTGTGAAGGCTAAGAACGAACCATATTATTCCAGGGACATGGAAAGACGGAGGGTCCAACTGGATGGTATGTTGCCGCATTCGTACGGGGCATTAATCTCTGTCTTGACACATAGATCCGCAGGTCATTTTGGACCACCGCGCAGATGGCTTTGGACGTTACTGTAAGTATCCGAATTCGTGTAAGCGGAATCTAAGCAAAGCTCACCCTCACCCTCTCATATAGGATGCGTTGAACATTCCCAAAGTTTACGCACTGGGTACTTCTCAGGGCGGATTCGTCGTCAGCAGGATGGCGATCCTGCGTCCCGACAAGATGCTCGGTATCATCCCTGTCGGCTCCTCCATGTACGGGGAGACCGATGACACCCGCAAGCTCGGCTGCTGGAACCCGAACGAGGTCTTCCCTCCCGTACGTCGTCCATCGCACTATCCGTTTCTTTGGATCTAGTCCGACTGTTTGCGTTTCTGCTAGTGGTACATGGCCTTCTTCAAGACGAAACCCAAGCCGGACTTCGAGGTCCCGCAGCGCTTCTTGGACGACCTGATTGGTGTTGGGTTTGGTGAAATTGTGACCAAGGAACAGTATGAGTACTGGTCGAGGTCGATTCGCGACACTTACAGGGGAGAGGAGGGGAGGAAGAAGATCTTGATGTGTGAGTCCACGCTGAAATCTGAAGTTGCGGTAGGGGGGATCCATGGCTGATTTATTGCTTGATATGTGAATAGGTACCATATGCCTTGGGGAGCGCGATTCGCTTGAGTACAAGCTGCCGGAGATTACCTGCCCCGTGCTCATTCCTCGTGCGTTTAACTTCCGTATTGATGGATTGGAAAGATGACCTGACTCTCTGCCATAGATGGGGACAAGGACGCCGTTTACTCCGTCAAGGTCGCTGAAAAGTGCGTTCGGTGGTTGATGTAAATCGCACACAGTGATATAATCTCTCATCTAAATCTCCCGCAGGTACTCGAAGTTGATGGTCAACGCACCGAGTGTCAAATTGAAGGTCATCAAAGGAGGCCGCCACTTCTTGAGTGCCTCTCACCCGAAGGTCAGTGCAGACGGCCCAGATGAAACTGAAGGGTGCTCATGGACTTGCTTATCTTCCAGGAAACGGATGAACTCGTCCTCGACTGGATTCTCAAGATGGAGGGCCAGAAGCAGTAAGGATGAACAGCAAAGTCGAAGAACGAATGTACCATTATCTGAGTTTTAGACGCAATGTCACGTTACAGCTATCGCGTGTAAGGTATCAAACCATAGGTCCCTCAAGTGCTGCACGTGCCGGCTCGCCTGGGCTGGACCAAGCCAGCGATATCGGCACCCAGAACGATGCTTACAAGTCGCCTCGTGAGCAGGCCGCATAGTGTCTCTCGCTCTCTGGTGCCGCTGAACATCTACACAATCGGGTTCATGTAGAGATGGTATAGGACTGAATTGTGCACGCTTGCATGTGTGCCGGCGAGGAGGTCAGGGCGTTTAAGTGGTATGAGGTGGGATGGCTTGCGTCGGCAGAAGTGGAGGAGCCGGGAAAGGCGCTCATCGTTCGGTTTTACAGAGGGTGGGCGGCCACAGTGCGTGTAGGGGACGCCAAAGCGCGTCTGTGGTACACTTAGTACAGGCAGAGGCGGAACATGGGGTACACATACGAGCCAGGCACGGCTTGTCAGGTCAAGTGAGGTCAGTAACTGACGGGCGGGGACGTTCATGTCGTCGCTGAGAGCAGGTCGGGATCAGCTGTAGTATGCGAGAAGAGGTGTGTCGGCGCGTCTGTGGTACACTTAGTACAGGCAGAGGCGGAACATGGGGTACACATACGAGCCAGGCACGGCTTGTCAGGTCAAGTGAGGTCAGTAACTGACGGGCGGGGACGTTCATGTCGTCGCTGAGAGCAGGTCGGGATCAGCTGTAGTATGCGAGAAGAGGTGTGTCGATCACATACTGGTTGGCAATGTATCGCCCAACATAAGCCATGCAATCCGCGTTATACTGTGCGCCCATAAGCTGGTGGGTGCGCCTGGCAAGGTCGATGTCAGGTGTTGGAACATAGAATGAACCAGGCGACGCCGACATAAGATCTAGAAATCTAGAGAAATCATGGGTGAGTGCACAACCAAGGAATGTAACTGCGTTGAAGCGAACGCGTGGTAACGTGCGACGGAGTGCTGGATCGCTACCTCGCCTCCTCCATCGTCAAAAAACTCGAATCCCATCCATTTAAGGTCTTGCATCTTCTTGACAAACAAGCCCTGACGAATGACCTAACACGCTGTCAGTAGTTTTACTTGTCCGATCGAAGATTAGAAGGGCGTACTGCGCCGACCAGGTCTACCGAGAACGGCCTGTCATCTATATAAGCCGAGAGTATCCTGTCCACCCTTCATACGCAAGTTGAATAAACAATGATTCGGTCAAACACTTGGTGAACGCACAAGTCTCCCTGCAACTCCCATATGTGCATCGGTATCGCATAGCGCATGTTCGTCAGATCGGTCCATCTCTTTGAACTATTCGCAAGATGGAGCCGACCCAGTCTTCTTGGCTACTCCCTGGCGCGCGTTGAAAGCTGTCGCCCTTGAGGATCTGGTCCTTGATGTGCTTTCCTCGTGCAAGGTCCGCGCCAGTCGTAGGTGTGGGGTAGCCAGCAGGGCTGGCTGCGCAGAAGGCAGATCGACGACGGCGACGCGTCGACAACGACACAGATCTTCACGGTCACGACATCACGACATCACGATACGTAGATTAGATTAGATATCCCATCTACCTCATGTTTCCCATCTCCTCATGTTCCCCACATTTTCGGCTCTCGTTTTCTGTCCCGTATCATCTCGTTTCCCCTCGCATTCGTTGTCTACGTGTACTACGCTACGCATACGAATATACTCTGTTTTGTTTTCTCTTTTCGTTCGCGTTCGCTCTCTCTCGTCTCGCCGTCCATCCGACATCGACTGTGCGGTCCGGATTCTTTGTCCCTCGCCCTCGCACCCTTTGGAGATCCCACATAGGTGTCCAAATACTGCCTCTGTTATCACAAGGTCAATCAGTACTGAATTGCCGGAACAAGATGGACTCGGGGGCGTATGCCAAGTATGTCCGTGCTCCCTCGTCCTCTCGAACGAGGTCGTCTGCAAACTTCCTGATGCCAAGGGTGTCTAAAGTGATAGCGGTCGGCATCGGGCCACTGCAGCTACTGCAATCAAAGCGAAAATCTTGTTGTAGATACCCCGTACCCCAGGAGTTCAAATAAGCTTGGAACGATATGCATATGTCATGGGATACAAAAGTAATCGTGAACGTCGACATACGTATCTGGAGAGCTTTTCGGCATTTGGGGCATTTGATAGTCTTGGTTCGGTTTATGTGCGCGTCTTCCAAGGCATCGAATGGCCTACGGGTCCTAGAGCGCCAGAAGTCTTCCCTTGTCTTTGTGGGCTCAGGGGCGAGAATCTCTTGCCACCCAGAGGACTGGAAAGGTAAGGATATCAGGGGAGCTGAACCTCTGAGAAACAGAAATAAGGCGACGTACGAGATATGAGGTGAAAATGTGGCCGGCTTCAGCCAAATTCTTCAACATCGGTAGGCGAGTGCAGTCTTCGGCATACCATC